TGTGTGTGTGTGTGTGTGTGTGTGTGTGTGTTAGACTTTTCCTGTGTTATTATTGTGTACATGCATAGTATTCACGCTGTTGTTTTCCTCTTTTTGTAGTTTCTTCCACTTTTTTTCAATCAAACTTCTTCCACATCATCTACTTTACTTTAACATTCATTAAAATGTTTGGCTCAATAGAGAAAAGTTTGCTGCAACTTTTAGAATCGATAACTTTGATACTTTTTTTTATTTAACTTCATAAAATCTTCATAGAAATACACAGATATTTTTCCTTCAAAAACATTATTAAATCTCCTTCATTATGGTTGCTTTATTTTTGTAATGTGTCAGTTTTAATTTTTCTCTACAGTTTTGCAAATTTTAGACTTTAGTTAAAGTTGTGTTTACATTAGTTTTTAGTATGGATTTTGCAGACTTAGGCTTTAGGTGCTGTTGTGGTCACTGTAGTTTTTAGTTACTGTTGCTGATTTTTAGCTTATTTGTTACTGTCACTTAACCAGTTAACAAGTCCTTCATCATTAATTGTCACCAAAGTCCCGCGACACTCTGCATTCATGTGTTTTTTACAGAAAATCCAATTTTCTAGTTTAAAGGTGCAAATGTCTCTAGTATAGGAGGGAATAATAAGGTTTTTTTTGCATTTTTAAAATTGAATAATATCAAAGAAACAGTTGAGCTGTTTTCAGAGCTGGGCGGTATGACCCAAATTTTATATCACGGTATTTTCAACAATTACACCAGTTTCACGGTATTTGACGGTATTTTTTTCCTCACAGCTCAGCTGATAATAAATGTACAAACTTTGCTTATTGAGTTTTCTTTTACTGTACCTCTGTTTCACTGTTTCTCTTCTCTCCTACGTCTTTTCTTCTTTGCCTGGTTTTAGACAGTAATCATGCATTTTAGTCCGATTGTGAAGGGTTGAGAAAAGATCATTATCGGGTCCATCGTTGTCTGTTAATAAAACTTAAAAGGACGACTCACCTCGCACACCAGTCTACTTCTACTACAAAACTACTTCCCCTGGGCTTTTCACAACAGAAGCACATTAAAGTCTCCATGCATTAATGTCTCCATTATAACGCCACGTGTTAAATCTAACCGTGCACGTCACTGAAGAATTGTTTACTATATTTAGCGGCGGTGAAAACGGGATGTTTTTTTTTACGTCAGTCAATATAAGCAGCTGAAACACTATCCGCCGCCAGTTACTGCAACATTAGCATGCTAATGCGCTTAGCAGTGCTGCGGGAAACGTGTCCCCCGGGAAACAGTTCACTGGAGGCCACGACGAAACGTTCCGCATGTCCGAAACCGCTATGTCCGGTATTCAGATAATTCATATCATAACAAAAATAAAAAATGGTTTTCGGTACAAAACGGTATACCGCCCAGCACTAGTTGTTTTACATTGTTTCTAACCTGTTTTTCTGCTGGAAAAGAAAAAAGATCCCCTTAATTCTGCCTTCAGATCTGGTTTCTGCATGTTGTGTAGAACTGTAATAACTGCTTTTCTAAATACATTCAGACCTTTAGTGTCAATGCAAGGCTGAAATCTAATGTGAGAAATTTACTTGAAATACAGTATTAGTCATGTTTGGTTTTATTCACTAGCAGCAATAACTGACCTGGTTCACATTGTATAACCCCTTTAAACCTTATAAGTCATATATGTGACTTTATTATGGGTTTCTCAAGCACCCATTTAGTTACACACACAGTTTAGTTGTTGCCTATTTCATAGTTTACATAGCTCTACAAAAGATTGTGATTTTAAGTGTAAATCTGTCTTGAAAAACTTCCACAAATACACAGCTATTATAACAAAGGAATTTTGTTTATTTTTATTCTACAAAGAAAATCGCATCTATTCAAGTCCCAATAAAAAGAGAACACTAGCAGTAGCTAAGTGCAAGTGGCACCAACTTATCTTACTAAAAACCTGCTGAACAGCGTGCAGCTAATCTGACAGCACTGATAGATGATTTTTTTAGTCTGCCTTAATGTGAAAACAAGTAAAACCACTCAAACACAGCAGATACACTCGTTATAACTCAGCTTCAAGCACTTAATTATCAAATCTAGCCTACTAACTACAGCTTTAATCCGCTGTTGTCCAAACCAGTTTCTGCTGGTTTGTTCTGGGTGGATGATGAAGCTGTCTTTATTCTTTAGCATTGCCAACAAAAATCCACTTTCACATAGCTGATGTAATACCAGCAAAGTTAACATATGTGGTAAGTTTTGTTTTTTAAATGGGCAACTTAAACAAAAGTGTAATATGTGCATTTATTTTATTGTATAATTGTATTATTATAGTGTTTACAGTCCTGCCTGGAAATGACTTTACAATTCTTCTACCATAAAAGTAGATTAGGCTTAAAGTGCCTTACATCGCTGAAATAATCTTTGTCCCTGTGTCACACAGACTTGTGGAATGCTCAGTTGTGCAACGGGAAGAAGGGCTCAGTTTCACTATTCAGGACGCCAGTCCCACATACCCACATACCCAGAGACCAGTCTCCTCATCAGCTGCCCTGTTGCGCTCTCTGCTTCAAACTCACACTCCTACAGAGCTGGAGTGTATTCAGTCCAACGGGGCTCTGTGCTTCATCAACCCCCTCTTCATAAAGGTTCACCAACCAGAGGGCAGCAAACAGTGCACAAATTTCAACACCCCTGAGACCCCAAGGGAAGAGTCCAACAAGACGACCAACGCTGAACATCCTCAGATCTGTAGGTCAGACCATAGTGACAGAAACCAGTCCGCTCGGAAAAAACTGCCGAACCTTTGCAGAAACTCCCCCAGTAATGTACAAATCAACAGTAGCCAGAAATTAGGAGCAGGGGCAAGTGTGCCGCGGTTCCCACCATCTCACCCCTCTCTGCCTTGCTTTACTGCACAGTGCTCTGCACCACCCGTCCAACAGCGAAGCATGCCTGAAAAAATCGCCTGGATTAATGAGCCAAAGGCGGAGGAGGTGAGGCAGAGCAGGCCTTTCTCTCGCCTCGGTTCCACAGTGACCACCGGCCTCTCGTCCTCACCTTCCAAGAGGTTTAGCATCAGCTCCCTCGCGTCCATCCCTCGGCAATCCCTGCCCCTCTCCCTGATGTCTCTGTCTTCCTCTCCAAGTCGATCCAAAGCCTCATCATTATCATCTGATTATGAGGATGCTCAGTGTCATTTGGCTTTAGAGGAAAAGACAATCGAGACCGCCATTCGTAGGAGCCAATTATTTAGACAAAATGCAATTAGATCCACAGCCCAAGATGTATACAAACCCTCCAAAACCATCTTGATGCCAGCAAACAAGCGTGCAGAAAACCTTACAGGAGAAGTTCCGGAAGGATGTAGTGGAACGAGCCAAAGGCTGAGTGACATGAGCCTCTCTACGGATTCCTCAGATTCTCTGGATTTCTCACAGAGCTCAGGCTTCCTTATCCCTCCTCTGCATGATCCCAGCCCCCCTACTATGGCTGACTTCGACAACCATCTTCCTCTCTCCCTCCCACCATCCCACCTGCGTTTAAGCAACATCAACATCGACGACGAGGACGATGACGATGAGGACGAAGAAGACCCCATTTTTGGCATCAGTCTTGAGAGTGACCAGGAGCAGGACCAGGACCTTACCATGCTGCCACCAGGGAGCAGCACAAGAAGACGCTCAAGTACCAGCGCGGTGGTCTTACAGAAGGCCCTGCGAGGAAATCTTCGCAAAATGAGTGGCGTGTTTACCTCACTGCTGACGCCAGAGAAGAGAGCAGTCCGCAAGGTGCGGGAACTGTCCAGGGATAAAAACTCGTACTTTGGCTCCCTGGTTCAGGAGTACCTCAGCTACATGAATGAGGGTGCTGGTGCCCAGGCGTGGCAGAGCTACACGTCTTGTCTGGAGCTGCTGCAGACAGTCCGTCAGTTCATCACTCAGATGAAGAGCTACCTGCGACAGAGCTCTGAGATGGAGCCGTCGATCGACAGCCTCGTCCCCGAAGACCAGATTGGTAAGTTTGACATTACACAGTTCCACCCTCTGTAGCTCTACTTTTTCATCTTTGTTACTCCACTAGTCTTACCAGTTCCGACACACATGTCGTAAATCATCTCGTTACCTCGCTCTGAATATCTGTGTCAACAAGAATATAATTACAGTCAGAGGTTTTTGTCTATTTCTGTGAAATTTCCACGAAGATTACAGCACAGTTCAGCTCCCACCAGTGTTCCACATTTTAAACTTGATGACCTCATGGTCATCTCTTAAAAGGAAGCGTGAGTCATTCAAGTGTGATATTAAAAAAATGGGGGTAAGCAGAATTATGCATCATGTATTTATGGAGAAATCACGTGAAAATGTTTTTAACTGCCAATCCAGCAGTTTCACTTCAGTGTTGTAGCACTGATGGAAAACTGTATGTATAATCACTTCAATGAGGATATCAGTAAGGTTGGGCAATATTGGCAAAAAAAGAAATCACGATTAATTGTGGTATTTAGCCGATAACGATTAATTTGACGATTAATCCCCTGGAGTCCCTGAACACCCGTGTGTCCTGGTCACATGACCAATTTAGTGGGAAAGATTTGCTCTTTGTAAATATCTATTCCAAATTGTGTCATAATTACAGACTTCAGGCTAAACATCAAACTTTAAATTGTGTTGATATATAAATAAATTACAGAACTTTTTTTAATCTTCGTCATATCTGAAGTGGAGAGGAGCACTGAGCGGACTCTGACTGGTAGCATTAAAGTACCTGACATGCATATTCTTCAAGTACAAAAAGTCAAAGAAAACATCTTTATATTTGAGAAAGTTGGAATAATACAATTATACCCATTTTTTCCCATATAACTGAATATTTTCTTTTGAACGTGACTCAGCCAAAGTGAAGCAGGAAGTGAAATCACAGGGGAACTCTTTAACAAAGAAAACACTCTGGTCTTTGTTTATTGAAAATAATATCATTTGAACTCTGACTCTTCATCTCTCTGATAGAGACTCAATCTAAAGAAACATCAGATTCTTCTCTACAGGCTGGGTTGTTAGCCATTTTAGCAAAGCTCTGTTTTCATGCAGACCTTCCCCTTTGACATCACTTCCTGTTACTTCACAGGCAAATATCTCAACAACTGTTCATCTCAGCTACATGAAATTTATTTTGCAACATTTTGTCAATGTCCTCTTTCTAAAATTCCATTTATATGTATTACAAAAATTTGACGTCACAGGCACTTTAATCGTATTAATCGTCAAGTGCCAAAAAATAATCGATTAATATTTTTCTGACGATTAATTGCAGACGATACGAGTATGCCCAACCCTAGATATCAGTCTTTATTATTTGTGTGTATATTTGATGGAAAGCCACACTCAGATGGATAAATACATTTGGAGGTGTAGGGGTAAGTAAGCACACAGGATTGTTGGGTCCAGTCCCCCTGATGCACTGATAATTAATGCAAACCTTATGTTTACATTTCTTAATGTGTGTGCTGTCTGTTGGATCTTACAATCCCTTCAAAGCAGCCTTACAAAAAGAGACTGCACACACACACACACACACACACACACACACACACACACACACACACCTGCCGGAAGAGCCGTCTGAATCATGTAGGCCAAGACTGAGTGAGTGCGTCGGACCTTGGACAGGGTAACATGTAAACAGAGGCACAAAGAGGGTTCTGTCTGAGGACTCCACCAACTTGTTTCTATTGGCCTTGTTCAAACAGTTCAGCAAAGTGCTGCATTCAACACACCATTACCAAGGAAATAAATAGTTCTTCAGAGGTTTCCACACAGTTTGAGCATGTATTTCAGAGTACCAACATTAAGTGTCTTATGTAGAAATGTCTAGGCTATATGTAATGAACATATTTATTTTACTTAAGGATTACTTGTTTTTTTGTGTATTTTTCAGTCTTCCTTTAGCTCATTTAGGAGATGGTAGTAATGACTTTTGGTTTCTGGAACATTTTTTACTTTTTCAAGCTATTTAACTTTATTTACAACTATTTCCTCTAAGATTTCTACAATTCTTTCAAGTACAGTTGTTTTTTTGTCTGCTCCAGTGCTTTTTTGTTTTCCTATGATTCTTTTTGCCAACATTCATTCATCCATTTTTTTACCTGCTTTTACATGCAGGGTCCTGGAACAGCTAGTGTCTATTTGCTACTTTTAGCATTTTGCTGACATTTATTCTACTTTTAGTTTCTAACTCACTATTTGTATTTTTAGCTAATCTTTATAGTTGCTACCAGTGTTTTGCTCAATTGTTGCTTTTTCAGCAAATTCAGCATTCAGCCTATATTTTTTTTCACCTAAATTTTTGTTGTTTTATTAATATGACTAGGGTATAGATTATTCAAGATTGACGAACCAAATTGTGAATTCTTTTTCAAGTTTTTTTTTTATAAATGTCAGGTTATCTGTAATAAACAGCAGCATCACTGACAGCTCAGGGTTGTGTTACAGTAGTTTTGTATTTCTGTAGGGTTTGTGTCAGGCACAGGGTTATATAGGGTTAGAATGTGGGGTTTTATTTTATTTTTTTTTACAATAGAAGCATTCAGATGAAAAATTAACATTCCCAATAAACATTTTTATGTCCTTAATTTACATTTTACACAGAGGTCCACATTTTATAAGACAAGTCAGTAAACTGAGAATGAAATCACAGTCCGTTCTCATCATGTTGGTATGAGACATGTTTTGTGTCTAATTTATGAAAAGCCGTATTTCTCAAGGGATTGACGCTCAGGGAAATACTGTGGGTTTTACGTCTTGGGAGTGTTGCCTAATAGTTAATTGCAGTATCTTCAGAGAGCTTTTTCTGTTCAGCTCAAAGGCTGGCTGGCCCCAATGCATCTGGATGGCTGTCTGCCAAGTCATGGAATGTCGTACTCCAACCACAGCTTTTTTATACCATTAGTCCAATCAGAGGGTGAGAATTAGAGGCAAGCCCCCCCCAAAGCTCTCTGCCTCACAGGGGTCTTGTTTCTTTTTATTATTATTTTTTTCACTCTGGAATTCTGCCCTGATGAGATGTTCTATAAAATGGGTTCGACCTCGAGTACTAAAAACAGTATATCCTTGATGCTAAACTATCTACAACTGCATGAAATAAACCCTTCTTAATTTAACATAAACAAAATTATGTTCATGCATGTTTGTACTTTGTACCCAGCACTGAATCAGACTGCAGCAAACATCTGAACCCATAATGCAACTAAATTTAACAGCACAGGAGATGTTCTCTAAGCTTGATTCGTGTCGTTACTGTAAATTTGTAACTGTACTGAGTAACCAGAGACCTGAGAACAAGCCCTGACTGCTACCTACAATGAATACAGCTCACCTAGTAGACTTGAGAATATCTGCTGTGGTATCACTTCTGAACGTTGGAAGTAGGGATGCATGATACATCGGCATTAACGTCAGTATGTTGGTAATTTTTTAGCATATGGGTATCGGTCCAAAAAGTAAAACTGGGCCAATATTAATGCCAAATATTGACTTCCCACCTGTTGCTTTTTGTGTTTCTGTTTTGGGAGAGGAGATGGTTGGTTGAACGGTATCTGTTTGACCATGATGCAGTGACGCTGCGCAGCCAGGAATAACTGAAGTAGAGAACCATGTCAGTGGTCTGGTTGTTTTTTACAGTATCAAAAAAAGACACGTGTGTTTGTGATATAATTTGTGTAATATTGGTAAATATTGGCTATTGGCTAAAACAGCTATATTATTATCAGATATCAATACCAGTATCATCTGAAAATTTCATATCGGTGCATCCCTAGTTGTAAGATCCATAAATCTGACTTGTTCATAAAACACATTCTACAGATGATAGGGCTGGGCAATATTGACAAAAAAATAAATCACGATTAATTGTGGTATTTAGCCGATAACGATTAATTTGACGATTAATCCCCTGGAGTCCCTGGACATCCTTATTTCATAGTCACATGACCAATTTAGTGGGAAAGATTTGCTCTTCATAAAAATATGTTCCAAATTGTGTGGAAATTACAGACTTCAGGCTATACATCAAATTTTAAATTGTGTTGATAGATAAATAAGTTACAGAACTTTTAAAATATTCGTCATATTTGAAGCTGAGAGGAGCAGCGAGCGGATTCTACCTGTTGGCATTAATCGTATTAATTGTCAAGTGCCAAAAATTAATCGATTAATGTTTTTATGACGATTAATCACACACGATACGTTTATGCCCAACCCTAACAGATGACTGGTTTAAGTGAGAGCTTGAAAATTCGATGGCATAGTTCTTTGGTTCTCTGTTTCCCAAGGTTTTCCATGCAGCAGAACTTGATCCAGAGAATGCCACTGAGGACCCAATCTCATGTCTTCCACTCCTATAGGGCCCATACAGGCTTCTCCAACCATATGATATTAAAATAAGGGATTGATCAGACTAGACAACTTTTTGTGATGACACCATGGTTTTGTTGCAGGTGATTTTATCCCTGGACAAAACAAAGTGTGATGAGATGTTGGTTTTTACATTGTTCTACTGAAACCAGCAGTAACGTCTTCATGTGTATGAGCCACGGTAGGTTTTCTATTAGAACAGATAACGTAGGCCACCAGTCTTTCTTTTAAATGAGTCTGCCTTACCAAATCATTCATTCACCAGACATTCAGTGTGGACTTATTTTGATAGAGCCTGACCACTGCCCATTTGGAACATCCACCTTATTTATTCTGTGTTCAGACAACATTACAAGGAAAGGTCGAACTCTAGGTGACTATCTAATAGGGTTGGACAAAATCGTATAGCGTGCAATTAATCATCAGAAAAACTTTAATTTATTATTTTTTTGGCCCTTGACAATTAACACGATTAATGCCACTAGACAGACTGACTGGAGATTTCCCCGGTCAGTCAAATATGACAAAGATTTAAAAAAGTTCTGTAATTTATCAAAACTCTAGTTTTACTCTGTCTATCAGCACAATTTAAAAACGATGTATAGC